GCTCATTTAAGATGAAATTAGTTGTGTTTGGAAAAAAAAAACTACCAACCTCGACATCCTCATATGTTATTATTATTAATAATGTGTATAAGTCTGTTTAAACACGCACACAAAAACCAGACTTTCTCTCCGCTTCAAATTGCGTGTACAGGATCCGTTTGAGAAACAGCGTCTGTTTATCACTATGGAGCAGTCATGGACCATTATATGACTGTTTTGAGGATTATATAGGCGCCTGTAATCAAAAGGAAATGGAGTCGCGCCGTTTATAATATTTATTTATAAGTGTTTTCATTCCTAAACAAAGCGAAAGCACAGAAGACTTACGTTTTAGAGCAAGGGGCGACCCCTGGTGGTTCGGCGGTATGGGTTGCGTATAGGGAGGCCTGGCTGTTCAGAGAAAGACTGAAAATACGGGAGAAATACGGGAAAATACCTTTACGGGATGATAGCGGGATAGAACAGTAAAATACGGGAGAATCCCGGGAAAAACGGGAGGGTTGACAGGTATGGTGTTGATGAGCGAAATTTGATGTAAGCAAGTTTATATGTCTGTGCATGTGTTAATGTGGGTGTTTATGTGAGGATCGAGTTTACATGTATGTGTGTGTGTATGTGCATGCATCAAGTTTATATGTACAGTTGAAGTCAGAATTATTAGCCCCCCTGAATAATTAGACCGCTTGTTTATTTTTTTCCCCCAATTTCTGTTTAACGGAGAGCAGATTTCTTCAGCACATTTCTAAACATAATAGTTTTAATAACTCATCTCTAATAACTGATTTATTTTATCTTTGTCATGATGACAGTAAATAATATTAGACTAGATATTCTTCAAGACACTTCTATACAGCTTAAAGTGACCTTTAAAGGCTTAACTAGGTTAATTAGGTTAGCTAGGCAGGTTAGGATAATAGCCAAGTTATTGTATAATGATGGTTTGTTCTGTAGACTATCGAGAAAAAATATAGCTTAAAGGGGCTAATAATATTGACCTTAAAATGGTGTTTAAAAAATTAAAAACTTCTTTTATTCTAGCCGAAATAAAACAAATAAGACTTTCTCCAGAAGAAAAAATATTATCAGACATACTGTGAAAATTTCCTTGCTCTGTTCAACATCATTTGGAAAATATTTTAAAAAGAAGAAAAAAATACAAAGGGGGCTCATAATTTTGACTTCAACTGTATATACACAAGTTTCATCTGTGTTGTTTTGAACATCCAGTAGTATAGGTGTATATGCCAGTAATTTATAGGTGTATATGCCTTTTATTATGTATGTGTTGATAAGCAAAGTTTGATTTAAATCCTACACGGCACCTCATTCTTAAAACAGTACACACACATATTGGGCTCTATTTTGACGGTCCATGCGCAAAGCGCAAACGCAGGGCGCAAATGCTTTCAGGGTGTGTCAGGATGCGTTTTGCTAATTTAAGGACGGAAAATCTGCCTTGCGCTTCGGCGCTTGGTCTAAAAGGGTTGAGTTTATTTTCTTAATGAGTTATAGGTGTGTTTTAAGAATAAACCAATCAGAGTCTCATCTCCCATTCCCTTTAAGAGCCAGCTGCGTCGCGCCATAAGTGCATTCGCTATTTACAGGACGCAAAGTAAGTCTAAGTGGAAAAAATGAGCATTTCACAAGCAAACAGTTAACAGTGTTTTGACAGAAAACTGTTAAACAGAGCATCTACTGCGTGAGATTGAGAGATAATGGATCTACTTTCACTCTTGGATAGGGAAACCTTTACGCACAGACATCAATTAGTCTATAAATAAATAATTTTGTTTGTTAAGCGCAAATAATCGTTTCAAAACTATTTCTAAATTCAGTTCTAATTTCTAACAAATGAATAAATTAATAATAATAACAAAATGTGCTCAAAAACCTGAGTTATATCCTAAAACACATGCTGTGCCCCATATGGTTTAAAACCTGACAGGTGGGCAAATCTAAGCTTGTTTTTAATAAAACAAATATAAATATGGATATAATAAATAATACTGCTAATAATAATAACATTATACAAAAGCAAATTGTTATGAATGAACTGAAAAAGCCCCCAGAGATGAAGAAGACATAAAAGCAGTGATTTTTCATATTTATGTAGGCTAGAAAATAATTTTATAAATATTTTAATCCTTTATATTTATATTCTATATCTATTCTTATTATATCCTATATATATTCTTAATATTTACATTTTTTCATATGTAAAGATATTTGCCTATTGCTCTCTTGTGTGTATTAAGCAGTGTGTAAGCGAGGCGCAACTCTGCGCTGGAGTTTAGACTGGGTTAGTTTTGGTCTAATGAAAAATCTATTATAGTTTCTCAAAATAGCAACGCGCCAGCGGTCCGCCTCAGAACGCTTCCTTTTTAGACCAGAACGCCTATGGGCGCACAAATGAGCGCAAATGCATTTGCTATTTAAACAGTGTAGCGCAACGCCTCAAAACAACTCTTGCGCCAAGCTTAAACTACCAAAAGACTACAGCGTCACGCCTTGCGCCACACTGCGCCGGGTGTATGATAGGGCCCATAATATGTCATAACAAACTTTTGAATGGGATCAATCATGATTAATCTGCACTTGTTAGCTTGCATGTGTTTGCTCAACACATTTGAGCACTTTCAGCCACCATACTTTTTACAGTATTATTGGATCAGACAGGAGCGAGTGTAAAAACTCACAGCTTCGTGTCCGTCTGTGCTGCAGTCTCCATTGCCATTGGTCAGAGCAGAGCAGGGAACATTGTAATTGGTGAAATCTTCCCATAAGAGCAGCGTATCGTCGTTCTCTTCCCACGTCAGACTGTCACAGTCGTCGTCGATCTCAAACGTCTCCCGCCTGGCAACAAATGAGTTATCTGAACAATGTCTGCACGCCAGGAGAAATGAAGAGACGGAAACATAGAGACAGAGAAAGAGCAGGCAGTGAAGAAAGACACAAGACTAGAGAAGAAGAGCAGCAAAACACACAGAGAAGAAACACACAACATATCTGCACTATATATTGTTTCAGTACCCATTATTATATACAGCTAAAGTCAAAATTATTAGACCTCCTGCATTATTAACCCCTAAGTTTTGCCTAAAAAGATTTATATATATTATATATATATATATATATATATATATATATTATAAGAGTTTTAATTACTTATTTCTAATAAATGATTTATTTTATCTTTGCCACGGTATAATTGACTAGATATACTTCAAGATACTCATCTTAAAGTGACATTTAAAGGCTTAACTAGGTTAATTAGGTTAAAGTTAGAGTAATTAGGCAAGTTAATGTGTAACCATGGTTTGTTCTGTAGACAATCCAAAACAAATATTGCTTAAGGGGGCTAATAATATTGACCTTAAAATGGTGTTTTAAAAAACTAAAAACTGCTTTTATTCTAGCCGAAATAAAACAAATAAGTCTTTCTACAGAAGAAAAAATATTATCAGACATACTGTGAAAATTTCCAGAGTCTGTTAAACATAATTTGGGAAATATTTAAAAAAGAAAAGAAATATATTGACTTCAACTGCATATATTTTTATAAATAATGATGAAGTTACAACTGTTTACCACAATGGATTAATCCAAATTATTATTGTTATTATTATTATTATTAACAATAATAATTTATTGTATTTATAAAAAATATTTGTATTAATATTTAATTGTGTTATAAAACAAATCAATAATTATTGACTATTATTAATATAAAAACTGTATTCTCTCAACAATGCTAAAATAATTCTGTTAACACATTAATCCTTGTTTTAAAGTTTATATATTCCATATAATATAATTTTATTTACTTCTTAATGTGTTGGGCGAAGCAGTGGAGCAGTAGGTGGTGCTGTCGCCTCACTGCAAGAAGGTCGCTGGTTCGAGCCTCGGCTCAGTTGGCGTTTCTGTGTGGAGTTTGCATGTTCTCCCTACGTTCTCGTGGGTTTCCTCCGGGTGCTCCGGTTTCCCCCACAGTCCAAAGACATGTGGTACAGGTGAATTGGGTAGGCTAAATTGTCTGTAGTGTATGAGTGTGTGTGTGTGTGTATGTGTGGATGTTTCCCAGAGATGGGTTGCGGCTGGAAGGGCATCCGCTGCGTAAAAATTGCAGGATAAGTTGGCGGTTCATTCCGCTGTGGCAACCCCGAATTAATAAAGGGACTAAGCCGACAAGAAAATAAATGATTGTATTTGTTTTTGGTGGGAGGCATGCCATATTTCACAAAAGCCAACTGTAAATTTAAGCAGAACATAATAATCAAGCACATTGGTTTGCACTGAAAATTGGCAGATAAAGTTGTTGAAGTGAGAGTGAAAGCAAGGTGCTCACATAGAGAAACAGTGTAAATGCATGCAAAAAGAATAACATGCAATATGGGCAACCCCCACACAACGTGCTGTAGAAAAAGAGGAAAGGTCAAAGAGTAGGAAAACACATCATACTTAAGTGAGATAATGAATTTTAATATATGCATTAATAAGAAGCTGATCATTATGAGATGAATGCAAGAGTAAGAACACGAGACTGTAACCTCGCTGCAAAATCATATAGAGAAGATGCAGATCTCGCATATCTCTGCAGTTCTTTTCATAACCACTCGGTGGCGCCAGAGTACAGACATGAGCTGCCTCAGAGGAGCTCAAATCACTCAGGCTGACCCTTTCTGTGTGTGTGCGTGCGTGTGTTTTGTGACACCATGGCACCAGTGTGTATGATGTCATGGGTCTGACAGGTATTACAAGAAGGTGGTGAATTATGAGGACATTGCTGGTGTTATTCCTCAAAATGCTCTTTAATCACACAGAATGAGTTTTATTTTTTCCAGAAAGTCTCCTGTAAGGGGTACGGTTAGGTGTTGGATTAAGGGTTATGTTTGTGTGTGTGTGTGCATATGTGTGTGTCTGTATTTGTGTGAAATATAAAATACAGATTGGGTGTGCATATGTATGTGTGTGCGTGTATAATACACTGTGTGTGTGTGTTTCAATGTGCATCTGCGCGTGTGTGTGTGTGTGAAATATAAAATCCAGTTTGTGTGTGCGTCTGTATGTGTGTGTGTCTATGTGTGTGTGTGTGTGAAATAGAAAATAGTTTGTGTGTGTCTGTGTAGTGTGTGTGTCTATGTGTGTGTGTGTGTGAAATAGAAAATAGTTTGTGTGTGTCTGTGTAGGTGTTTGTGGCTGTATGTGTGTGTGTGTGCGTGTGTGTTTCAATGTGCATCTGCGTGTGTGTGTGTGTGAAATATAAAATCCAGTTTGTGTGTGCGTCTGTATGTGTGTGCATGTGTGAAGTAAAAAATACAGTTTGTGTGCATCTGTGTGTGTATGTGTGTGTGTGTGTGTCTGGGTGTGTGTGTATGTGAAATAGGAAATAGTTTGTGTGTGTCTGTGTAGGTGTTTGTGGCTGTATGTGTGTGTGTGTGTGTGTGTGTAATATAAAATACAGATTGGGTGTGTGTCTATATATGTGTGTGTGTATAATACACTGTGTGTGTGTGTGTGTGTGTGTGAAATATAAAATAGTTTGTGTGTGTGTCTGTGTGTTTCAATGTGCATCTGCCTGTGTGTGTGTGCTTGTGTGTGTGTGTGTGTGTGTGTGTGTGTGTGTGTGTGAAATATAAAATCCAGTTTGTGTGTGCGTCTGTATGTGTGTGCATGAGTGAAGTAGAAAATACAGTTTGTTTGCATCTGTGTGTGTATGTGTGTGTGTGTGTGTCTGGGTGTGTGTGTATGTGAAATAGGAAATAGTTTGTGTGTGTCTGTGTAGGTGTTTGTGGCTGTATGTGTGTGTGTGTGTGTGTAATATAAAATACAGATTGGGTGTGTGTCTATATATGTGTGTGTGTATAATACACTGTGTGTGTGTAATATAAAATAGTTTGTGTGTGTGTCTGTGTAGGTGTTTGTGGCTGTGTGTGTGTGTGTTTCAATGTGCATCTGCCTGTGTGTGTGTGCTTGTGTGTGTGTGTGTGTGTGTGTGAAATATAAAATCCAGTTTGTGTGTGCGTCTGTATGTGTGTGCATGAGTGAAGTAGAAAATACAGTTTGTTTGCATCTGTGTGTGTATGTGTGTGTGTGTGTGTGTCTGGGTGTGTGTGTATGTGAAATAGGAAATAGTTTGTGTGTGTCTGTGTAGGTGTTTGTGGCTGTATGTGTGTGTGTGTGTGTGTGTAATATAAAATACAGATTGGGTGTGTGTCTATATATGTGTGTGTGTATATTACACTGTGTATGTGTGTGTGTGTGTGTGTGAAATATAAAATAGTTTGTGTGTGTGTCTGTGTAGATGTTTGTGGCTGTATGTGTGTGTTTCAATGTGCATCTGTGTGTGTGTGTGTGTGTGTGTGTGTGTGCTTGTGTGTGTGTGTGTTTGTGAAATATAAAATCCAGTTTGTGTGTGCGTCTGTATGTGTGTGCATGTTTGAAGTAGAAAATACAGTTTGTGTGCATCTGTGTGTGTGTGTGCGTGTCTGTGTTTGTGTGAATGTGTAATAGAAAATAGTTAGTGTGTGTGTGTCTGTGTAGGTGTTTGTGGCTGTGTGTGGCTTTGTCTACATGTGTGGTTGTGTGTATGTCTGTGTGTGTGCGCATGTGTGTGTGTCTGTGTGCATGCGCATATGTGTTTGTGGGTTTGTGTGTGTGCGTGACTCACAGCTGGTTGAGCATGCGCTTCATCTCGTCAGTGATGTTGAAGGGAGCGTCCTCCTCTGAGGTGCTGCTGGGGTCTGCATCCATCTCTGAGCTCTCCTCGTCCGACACCGCCTTCCTCTCCTTCTTTCTGCAAGCCACAGCCTGACCCAGGAACATCAACATGTTTATGCTACCATAGAATCAAAACAATATGTGCCAATGATGTAAAGTTAAAGTAGCAAACACAATTAGCATCTTGAAAAGAGCGCAGTTATAAGGTCTGTGCTGTGTGTTTGGCACTGGTGTGATGTCCTCCTCATGTGTGTGAAGGAACGCTCTGGCCTCAGCAGTTTTCCTCCAGAACTGTGATCTGTATGTGTGTGTGTGTACTTGTATTCCTAATGTTGTGTGAAGCAAATGTCCCCACAAGTACACTCACCGGCCACTTTATTAGGTACACCTTACTAGTACCGAGTTGGACCCCTTTTGTCTACAGAACTGCCTTAATCCTTCATGGCATAGATTCAACAAGCTACAGGTAATATTCCTCAGAGATTTTGCTCCATATTGACATGATAGCATAACACAGTTGCTGCAGATTTGTCGGCTGCACATCCATGAAGCCAATCTCTCGTTCTACCACATCCCAAAGGTGCTCTATTGCAGTGGTCCCTAACCACCGGGCCGCGGACCGGTACTGGTACGTGGAACAATTGGTACCGGGCCACATAAGAAATCATAAATTATTTCTGTAGAAAATATTCCCCCCGCGACTTGGTTTCTTCCACTCACCCCCGCCATCTCACGTGAAATGGACTATGCCAAATCTAACACGGAGCGGGAAGAAGGATAGAATATACCTCATTGGTGGTTGTTGATAGTTTAAAGTTATAAAACGGGTATTATAGAGTCCAACTCAGCAGAGTATTTAAGGATTGTGCATATATGTGTGCGTGCATCGCTAAGTAAATACCCGAAATCATTGCAATATGTATATGAGACCGCGATAGTGCAATTAGCGCATGCGCACTGAGTTGTTCATGATTAACCTGGATGCAGGAGCGCAGCAGCTGTGTTCACGTGAAGATCCCCCCCCACACATACACACACCGGTCCGTTGTAAATTTGACAACCGTTGACTGGTCTGCGGTGAAAAAAAGGTTGGGGACCACTGCTCTATTGGATTGAGTTCTGGTGACTGTGGAGGCCATTTGAGTACAGTGAACCAATTGTCATGTTCAAGAAACCAGCCTGAGATGATTCACGATTTATGACAGGGCGTGTTACTCAGATCAGCCCATCTGGCACCAACAACCATGCTATGTTCAAAGTCCCTTAAATCCCCTTTCTTTCCCATTCTGATGCTCGGTTTGAACAGCAGCAGATCGTCTTGACCATGTCCAGTTGCTGCCATGTGATTGGCTGATTAGAAATTTGTGTTAACAGGCAGTTGGACAGGTGTACCTAATAAAGTGGCCGGTGAGTGTACAGCAATACCAGTAAATTTTGACCTTGTGGGGACATTTTTTTCAGTCTCCATGATGAAGACGGCTCATGAAATAGCTCGTTCATCATTCAGAAATATAAAAATGCAGATTGTTTCCTGTGAGGGTTGGGCTAGGGGAGAAAATACAGTTGGTGCAGTATCAAATTATTATGTCTATAGGAAGTCCCCATAAAAATAGCTGCACAAATGTGTGTGTGTGTGTGTGTGTGTGTGGTTGTGTTTTTCGATGTGTGTGTATAAGTGTGTGTCTCTATGTGCATGTTTGTCAGTGCATCTGTCTGTGTAAGTGCAAGTATGATCTGTGTGTTTGTGTGTAGCTTGTATTCCTAATGTTGTGGGGACCAAATGTGGACACAAGAATAGCAATAGCTGTAAATGTGGACTTTTATTTTGGTCCCCATGAGGAAAACAGCTCGTAAATCAAACAGAAAGTTTTTTGAAAATGTGTGTGTGTGTGTGGGTGTATTTGTCAGCATGTGTGTACGCGGTTTTACGTCTGTCTGTACCTTGCATTCCTCACATTGTTGGGACCCCACAAGTCCCCACAAGTATAGCAATACCAGTAAATTTGGACCTTGTGTGAACTTTTCTTGGTTCCCACAAGGAAGATGGCTCATAACTCACACAGAATAAAGCATTTTTAAATGTAAAACTGCAGAATGTGTGTGCAAATGTGTGATAAATGGACTTGTATTGCTATATTTGTGGAGACATTTTGGTCCCTATAAGGAAAACGGCTCATAATTCACAGAATGCAGTCATTCATTCATTTATTTATTTATTGTCGGCTTAGTTCCTTTTATTAATCCGGGGTCGCCACAGCGGAATGAACCACCACAGAATGCAGTATTTTAAAAAAAATTTTAAAATGCAAAATGTGTTCAGGATCTTACTCTGTCCGCTGGAGCTCTGGATGGACTGAAGATCTTGCTCATGTCCTCAGAGTTCCGCTGCTGAGCCACGTCACACAGTTTGGCCGTGATGTCGATCCTCCTGCAGATGTCCATGTCCACCTTCATGGCCTTCTCCTGGATCTTGGTGTCCAGGTCAGACATTTGCTGAACACACATTCAAGAAAACTTTTCACCCTCCTGTGAATTTTAGGTAAGTATTTTCCAAATTATGTTTAACAGAGCAAAGAGTTATTTAAAGTGTTTCCTATATTTTTCTTACAGAGAAAGTCTTATTTGTTTTATTTAAGCTAGAATAAAAGCATTTTTTAATTTTTAAAAAACATTTTAAGGTCAATATTATTAGCCCCTTTAAGCAATATTTGTTTTGGACAGTCTACAGAACAAACTACTGTTATACAATGACTTGCCTAATTACCCTAACTTTAACCTAATTAACTTAAGCCTTTAAATGTCACTTTAAGCTGTATAGAAGTGTCTTGAAGAATATCTAGTCAAATATTGTTTACTGTCATCATGGCAAAGATAAAATAAATCAGTTATTAAAAATGAGTTATTAAAACTATTATGTTTAGAAATGTGTTTAAAAAAAACTTCTCTCCGCTAAACAGAAATTGGGATAAAAATATACAGGGGGCTAATAATTCTGACTTCAACCAAAGAGCATAGAATCAACAAGAGGCGACACTCTGTTGCTGTTTGGGAAACAGTCACTAGATACCGCTAGTGTCACGCGGCGGCCATTTTGAAATAAAAATTCCAAAATACCAACAGCCAGGGCCGACGTGTCCATAGAGGTGACCTAGGTAGTGGAAGAATACATAGGGCGGCGTCCCAGACACTACCCTCACCTCTCGCACCCTCAGTTATATCCGCGTCTAGGGCTGCGTCCGCGACAGTACCCTCACCACCCGCACCCTTAGTTATATCCGCGTTTAGGACGGCAGAATAGAGAGAGCGGTGTACGCAACACTACCCTCACCTCTCGCACCCTCAGTTATATCCGCGTCTAGGGCGGCGTCCGCGACACTACCCTCACCACCTGCGCCCTCAGTTATATCCACGTCTAGGGTGGCAGAATAGAGAGAGCGGCGTACGCAACACTACCCTCACCACCTGCACCCTCAGTTATATCCGCGTCTAGGGCGGCGTCCGCGACACTACCCTCACCACCTGCGCCCTCAGTTATATCAGCGTCTAGGACGGCAGAATAGAGAGGGTGGCGTCCGTGACACAACCCTCACCACCCGCGCCCTCAGTTATATCTGTGTCTAGGACAGCAGAATCGAGAGGGCGGCGTACACGACACTACCCTCACCACCTGCACCCTCAGTTATATCCGCGTCTAGGGCGGCGTCCGCGACACTACCCTCACCACCTGCGCCCTCAGTTATATCAGCGTCTAGGACGGCAGAATAGAGAGGGTGGCGTCCGTGACACAACCCTCACCACCTGCGCCCTCAGTTATATCTGTGTCTAGGACAGCAGAATCGAGAGGGCGGCGTACACGACACTACCCTCACCACCTGCGCCCTCAGTTATATCCGCGTCTAGGGTGGCGTCCGCGACACTACCCTCACCACCTGCGCCCTCAGTTATATCAGCGTCTAGGACGGCAGAATAGAGAGGGTGGCGTTCGCGACACTACCCTCACCACCTGCGCCCTCAGTTATATCAGCGTCTAGGACGGCAGAATAGAGAGGGTGGAGTCCGTGACACAACCCTCACCACCTGCGCCCTCAGTTATATCTGTGTCTAGCACAGCAGAATCGAGAGGGCGGCGTACACGACACTACCCTCACCACCTGCGCCCTCAGTTATATCCACGTCTAGGGCGGCAGAATAGAGAGGGTGGCGTCCGCGACACTACCCTTACAATTGGCGCCCTCAGTTATATCTGCGTCTAGGACAGCAGAATAGAGAGGGTGGCGTCCGCGACACTACCCTCACCACTGGCGCCCTCAGTTATATCCGCATCTAGGGTGGCGTCCGCGACAGCTCCCTCGACACCCCCCCGCTTTCACTTTAGGTTTGAGGGCGGCGTGGCCATCCTTTGCCTAGAGCGGCAGTACAGCTTGCTCCGGCCCTGCCAACAGCATATTATAAGCCTGTAAAATAAACTATTAAAAGTGCTGATGATTGTGGTAGTAAGTGTTGTATTGTCGTCTTTCAGGTTGTATCTCAGCTTTACCGTCCTTTTTAAATAAATAAATAAAAAACAAAGCAGCTGCTTGCCATCATGACAGCTATGAGAATCAATGGACGTTGCTGGGCGCTGCTGTTGCAATGGAACGATCTATTGAGTGTCGCCTCTTGGTCATTCTAAGCTCTTTGCTTCAACTGTATTTCTGCACAAACAACAACTTTATGATTCTGAATAAACAACAGTAGCACCTGCAATTTCATTCTGTGTTGCAAAAGTTAAGGTTTTAGTCATACTTTGTCTTCAAACCTAGAATATGACCATTAGAAAAAATTGAAATAGTCAATTTATTTCACTTTCATGCCTCTATGTACACATACTGTGGGTTACGTACACACTGCAATGCTTGATATAGGTTATGTTCGTACAGTGTTAGATTCAACAGCCTTATTTCTTAACTAAATTTGACCGTTTACTTTGTGTATGAGCAAATAATACAATTTCTGCCTGAACTATTCGTATTAATGACCTCATAAATGTATAAAAGATAAATCCAGCAAGTTACTCTGTCAAAATGTAAAATGTTGATAATTGTAAAATTATTTCACTATTTTTAATATAAATGTAAGCTTCATTCATTTATTCATTTTCATTTGGCTTAGTCCCTGATTTATCAGGGGTCGCCACAGCGGAATGATCCACCAACTATTCCAGCATATGTATTATGCAGCGGATGAACTTCCAGCAGCAACCCTGTTCTGGGAAACACCCATACACACTCATTAACACACACTTATACACTACGGCCAATTTAGTTTATTCAGTTCCCCTATAGCGCATGTGTTTGGACTGTGGGGGAAACTGGAGCACCCGGAGGAAACCCACACCAAAATGGGAAGAACAGGCAAACTCCACACAGGAATGCCAACTGACCCAGCTGGGACTCAAATGTGTATGTGTGTTCATACACATCTGCAGTTGACGTCAGAACAGCAGAAACTAATTACTAATTCACAAATGTCACTGCAGAGCTAGTGTTTGAATGATTCTCTAGCGTAATGTCTAAAGTGATGACAAAACAGCTGATTTACAGTAGCTCACGTTTTAAGATTATAAGGCTGAACGGCATGAAATTCCATCAGTCCACAGAGATTTGCCAGTATTTCTCTGTTGCAATCAGGAGATCACAATAATTAACCCTGATGAAGCCAAAGCAAAGAAAACACTACCAGATTACTGTGGTATATAAAAAGCACTACACAAAAGAGAGAGATCGACTTTTATAAAACATCAGTTTTATAACGATTTGATCAGCTGTAGCTTCAAATTACGCTGAGTTTTTCTGCTCTAAGGACTTATTATGCAGTCTCTGTTGCCATCTTGTGGATGGATAGCATCAACCGTCTTTGCTCGGCTCAGTATGACAGGCAATCTCCAAATTCATTCATTCATTCATTTTCTTGTTGGCTTAGTCCCTTTATAAATCCGGGGTCGCCACAGCGGAATGAACCGCCAACTTAACCAGCATATTTAAGCGCAGCGTATAACCCTATATCCACTGCCCTATCCACATATAGGCACTATCCTTATAAATAAACCGCATAGCTGCAATCTAAACAACTACATTCTTGCCTCAAAGGTACATTTTGTTGTCCAACAGCTGCAATATTTGTCAAACTGAAGTGGGCAGAGTAATACTAAAGACTATAGAATACCTTAAAGGGATTTGGTAATACAGAAGGGTGAAGAGACTGTATGAATGCTGTTATTGCATGGCTATCAGCCAATCAGATTCGAGAACCAGACAGAACTGTTGTATAAAATATAATAAACGATTTATTAAAATGGAATGAATGTAATAAATGCAATTCATCTTTTCAAAACAAAAGTACTTCTGTTTATTTAAGTAAAAAATACATTTGAGTTGAAATAGTTGAAAAAATGATGACTTTAAAAAAAAGAAAAAAGATTTTCAAGTTTTTGTCCAATAAACAAAAGAAATAAAGCAAGTAAATACAAATGTCATAACTTTTGGGTGGACGTAAAAAACCAAACCGAGTGTGAACAGTGATAATTATCATACAGTGTATTTATCTGCAGTGTGTATGTGACCCAGAAACACTCTTCAAACACACCTGATCGCTGCCAATCACTGTAATCACATGCGGAACATGAATTATAAGCTACAGACGAGGACAGGAACACACCAGTCATAAATCAGTGTCATTGCACACAAATGCAAGAGCAACGAGTTAGTCTTGTGGTCAATCCACAGGCACGCAACAAACTTCAGCTCCTTTCACCCAAAGGCCTGATGGGAAACAACTGCTCTGACTCATTTATTCTGTTTAATCAATGCGGTACACTGTGTGTTTTCAATACAAAACAGCAAATATTTAGGGAGGATTATTTCCACCAGATAATAAAGAAATGTCTGTGGCCAGTGTTGGGGGTGACGTGAATTATGTAATAATATTACTTTTCTAAGTAACATATAAAGTAACGCATTACTTAATAAAGTAATAATAATTGAGTTACTTGCAAGTTATTTTTAATTTTAATTCAGATAAACGTTAAATCACACACTCAATGAGAGAATGTGTGCATTATTTCAACACATGGAAGAAAAGGAAAAGAGGATTATAGTCTTAATGTGTGATTTTACTTCACTAATAAGACAAAACAAAGGTCCTTTAAAGAGCCCCTCAAATGAGTTTTTAAAAACTACCATCTATGCAGAGTATAACAGCTCTAAATGAATGAAAACATCCAGAAAATCTGAAAGTGCACCCTACTGCACTCTACTGAGTCGACTCAGAGTCATATGAATTATTCATCCTTTGTTCAGATCTTCTGCTTGCACGTGTAAACGTCAATACAGGATATTGCCAATGTCCTATAAACTGCCGGATCGGGTAAAACGTGAACGAGCCTTTCCCTTCAGATACTGGCGGAGTGCGAGGTTACTATCACTGAGAGATGGACAGACATGCGGCTGTGGGGAATAAAGGGTTAAAGTTGGTTTTCACAACAACACCACAGCATAGCCAAACATGCTGTATTTGTTCTGTCATTTTTCTGACGATTGATACAATAACCTACGCTGCAGCGCAGGATCGCCGGCCATTTGTTATTAAAGGAAGGAGTAGCAAAGACTACTCATGTATGGGACTTTGTCAGTAACTGTTACAGTTTCTCCTTCCTCCAGATCCTGTATCTCTCAGGTTAAAACTGTGTGAGCTATTTCACATATTGCATCCAAAACTATGTTGAAAATGCGGCACATGCTTCTTCCTTTACGGATTTAAATTAGTTTTGTGCTTGCGATCTGCTGCTGTTTGTGGCTAGGGCCACCATCGGCTGTTCCTCACACGTGCGCCGCGGCCAATTTTTTTTTAATTATTCAACTTTTGCCAGTGTGTGGATTAATACTGAATGGGTGTCGTTGTTATTACTTGGGGTTAGGATTAAGAGTAGAGTAATATGCTGGTGTTTAACTGCATTGATTTAATGCACTCCTGCATTAGGCTCACACATACAGTTGAAAACAGAAGTTTACATACACTCTAAAAAAAGGAACATAAGCATTTTAAAAAAATGTCTGATGGTAACTCATACTAACCGTTTACTATTTTAGGTCTGTTAGGATTACCTAATTCATTTTCATTTGCTAAATGCCAGAATAATGAGAGAATCTTTTTAGAGAATTTTTTATTAGTTTCAAGACAGTCAAAAGTTTACACACATTTCCTTGCTATCTTTTTAGCTTTGCTTTTAAACTGTATAACTTTGGTCAGATGTTTTAGGTATCCTTCCACAAGCTTCTCACAATAGTATGAAGGAATTTTGGCCCATTCCTCCTGACAGAACTGCTGTAACTGAGTCATATTTGTAGGCTGTGTTGCTCGCACAAGCTTTTTCAACACTGCCCATAAATTTTCTATAGGATTGAGATCAGGGCTTTGTGATGGCCACTCCAAAACATTCACTCTGTTGTCCTTAAAGCACATTTTAACTACTTTGGGAGTATGCCCAGGGTCATGGTCTGTTTGGAAGACCCATTTGTGGTCAAGTTTTAATTTCCTGGCTAATGTCTTGAGATGTTGCTTCAGTATTTCTCCATAATGTTCTGTCTTCATGATGCCATCTATGCTGTGAAGTGGACCAGTCCCTCCTGCAGCAAAACAGCCCCACAACATGATGCTGCCGCCCCCATACTTCACAGTAGGGTTGGTGTTCCTAGGCTTGTAAGCTTTCCTCTTTGTCCTCCAAATGTAACACTGGTCATTATGGCCAAACAGTTCAATCTTAGCTCCATCAGACCACAGGACATGTCTCCAAACATGAGTCTTTTCCCAGTGTAATTTAGCCAATTGTAATCTGGCTTTTTTGTTGATTCTGGCTTGTTGAAACCGGAGCACCTGGAGGAAACCCACGCGAACGCAGGGAGAACATGCAAACTCCACACAGAAATGCCAACTGACTCAGCCGAGGCTCGAACCAGCGACTTTCTTGCTGTGAGTTGACAGCACTAACTACTGCGCCACTGCGTCGCGCTATTAAGCATAACAAACAAATTTTATACAGTTTATACAGTTTATGTAAACTTCTGGCTTCAACTGTATACTCTGTGCTACTTCATAACCGTGGTGGGTGTTTCTCTTTGTCTCGTGCTGAACCCAGTTGACCAATCACAAGAGACTGGGTCATTGGACAGATTAGCCTCACACAAAGGAGGGGTTTTGGGAACAAATTAATCTCTGAACGAATCATATGGGAGTCACTGGGATAATTAAGTAAAAATAAATGCAGATTATAAAACAATGAAATTGTTTTTTGACCTTGCACGCATATCAGCATGTTGTTGGAGACCCCTAAAACCAAAATATGACCTTTTTTAATGCAAAATAGGGGCTCTTTAAGATGACTTTAATCTTTATATACGGCATGTATAGCTCTGGGGTCAGGAAATTATACATACTGTAAGCTTCTGTTGAAAGCTTGTGGGCATAAAATGAATCAAGGCAATTGTTTTCCTTCATTAAACTCCTCATGGCTGAGTTTTTACAGATGTCATGTCTTGCATTCTCTCTTACTTTCAGGTCCAGGATTTTCCTCTGGTTTTCTACAGCTTTATTGCGGCGTCTCCCGCCAGCCTTTATAATAAACACCATTACAGTTCAGTTCTTAATTCTCCAAAACTATGTATATCTTTAAAATGCTTTTAAAATGCTTTACTCGTTTATTCAGCTGCTGCAAATCGAGGATGTGTTCTAGTGAGGTATTGCATTTATGACAAATTCTGCATCCAAAAACTATCCTAAACTTTTTTAAGTGTATATTAGTAAATTTTGGATCGTCATAAATGGGAGTAAATGGTTCTGTTGCTTAGTTATGTGCCCTCCCAATCGTCTTGTGACATCATCCACATGTCTTTCATATTTAATTTCTGGCCAGATTAGAGCTGGAACAGCAGGTTAACCGTTAAGCATATTTAGTATTGTAGTCCTTAATCGCAATGATTGCAGTTTTATTACTTTTTTTGCATATTACTGTCTTTGATAAAATAAAATCCATCAATTAATGTTTTTTAACTAAACTGTTTTATTTATATACCTTTATTTACTTATGTTTTATTTGTTTTATTTGTTCATTTGATCATTTATTTATTTTATTTATTTATTGTTTGTTTTATTTATTTGTTTTATTTATATATTTTTTCTTTATTTGTTTTATTTATTAATTAAATAAAATAATTTATTTGTTTGCTTTATTTATTTGTTTTTTTTATTTATTTTTTATTTGTTTTATTTATTTAATTTTTAAAAATTCTTGTTTTAATTATTTATTTATTTGTTTTATTTATTTATTGTTTGTTTGTTTGTGTTTTTTTATTTATTAATTTTTTTATTTTATTTATTTGCTTGTTTTATTTATTTGTTTCTTTTATTCATTTATGTATTTGTTTTTTATTATTTATTTATTGTTTTATGTTTTATTTATTTATTTATTTTTATTATTTGCTTGTTTATTTATTTATTTGTTTTATTTATTTGAATCTTTTATTTATTTATGTATTTGTTTTATTATTTATTTATTTTATTTGTTTTATATAAATAATAAATAAAATTTATCAATGTATTTTATTTTAATTGTTAAAATGTTTCTTATTTTCATACTTTTATTAATTAATTAATTTATTAGTTTTATTTAGTTAATTTATTAATTTGTTTGCTTTATATAAATAATAAAAACATACATTAATATATATTTATTTTTAATTTTATTTAGTGTATTTAAGTGTTTATTTGTTTATTTATTAGTTTTATTTATTTATTTATTTATTATTATTTTTTTCATCAGTTATAAAACATTACTGTAAATTTATATTGGACAAATGAGAAAAAGAATCTTTATAATTATTGTATTTCTCATTCATTTACTATAGTTTAAATTATTATTATTATTATTATTATTATTTGAATTCTGTTGTATCGAGTGCTCTTTTTATTTAAATTATTTTATTTTTGGTGTGCACAGACGGCAATCTAGCTACTCAGATTAAGGAAATCCAACTAAATGATTTTGGCCACAAAAGTCCTTTAAGATGCTTTAGGGTTAACCTGCTTTCATGCAGAGAAATCTCCTCAAGTGTTTGCGTAAATATGCATTGAGAAGTTAATGACAAAATGCATCTTTATAAAACTATTCAGACATTATTCAACGTGTGTGAATTGGGAGACTTGGCATCAGTTTGTTGGCATCCTGCAAAATTCAGCAGATTTACTTCTGCATTAACTAATAAAAACTAATTGAAAAGCTGAGATCTTTATCCAGCATCATAAAAACATCAGACTGTGTTTTACTTGGACTGAAAGCTCATTCTTGTGTAATGATCTGATGATGCGATAAGGAAACAAAACTCTTATGATCTTATGCAACAGGTAAGAAATGAAATGAGATTTTAGTGTGTGATATTTTAGGCTGTAGAAATACTCACATCACTCATGAGGCTCTTGAAAACCACCAGTTCAGCTTTCAGACGTTCAACCTTCTCGTTCAGCTCATCCTGAATGGCTTCGGATTGATTTACATTCTAAACACACAAGACAACAATATAAGAATATAATGGATAGTGCGTTTGTGGTGATATTTTGCTAATACGCTGTAAAAAAATATCTGTAATTGAACAGTTTCTGTATTTTGTGATGTTTTTAGTGAATTTATGGTTGTGAATTTTGCATTATGGGATGTTGATCTCTGCTTTGTTGACTTTTGATGATGAAAATTCAACTCTACAGTTTAGCAAAGTGACTTTTAAGGGCATTTTATAGACAATATAGCACTTAAAACTATTAAAAATGTTCATAAAAGTCACTTTTTGCAACTTTCAAAGGTTAAAAGTTGTCGGAAGAAAGATTAAGGTCCCATAATGTGATTCAAAAACATTAATAAACGAGGGAAAAAATTAAATAACAACACGAATCACAAAATATGCTCACCAATGCTTTTTCTATTTGATCAAAATGAGCAGAAATATTTTTTCAATATTTCTATAATCCAATAAATGATTATACTATGTGTACCTGGTGTTATATTGTCATTTAAATTAATTTATATTGTTATTCATTTCACTCAAAACTATAGTAAAGGTGAGGACTGGACACATATGCTAACATATTTGAAAATGTAGTTTATTCCTGTAACTTAAACCTGAATTTTAGGCATCATTACTGCAGTCTTCTGTGTTTTATAATCATTTTATCATAATGATTTGATGCTCAAGGGCAGCACGGTGGTACTTAGCACTGTCACCTCACAGCAAGAAGGTCTCTGGTTCAAGTTCTGACAGGGTCAGTTGGCATTTCTGTGTGGAGTTTGCATGTTCTCCCCGTGTTTGTGTGGATTTCCTCCGGTTGCTCTGGTTTTCCCCACAGTCCAAACACATGTGGTACAGGAGAGTTGATTAAGCTAAATTGGTCGTAGTGTGTGTGAATGTGAGAGTGTATGGGTGTTTCCCAGTACTGGGTTGCAGCTGGAGGGGCATCCGCTGTGTAAAACATATGCTGGATAAGTTGGCAGTTCATTTTGCTGTGGCGACCCCTGATGAATAAAGGGACTAAGCCGAAGGAAAATGAATGAATGAATAATTTGATGCTCAAGAAACATTGTAATTTTGTTTGTGGTGAAAATGTAACTATTCAAATCTGGGATTGTTTTCACGTTCACTCATTAATGAGAAGTTGCTGATAAAATATGATGTAGTTGGAAAATACTGCTTTTACTTATAGTGTTTGTTGTTTTGGAATTTGAAAGCTGCATATATTTAAATAAATAATTATGAGGGTTAAAAAAAATCTAAATGATTTCAAAATTTAATTTAAATAAAATATCCATTTAACAAGTAATCTGTTATTAAATATGCAATGCACCTATAAATGTATTTATTTATTTATTTTTTTTTTATTTTTTTTTATTTACTTTATATATTGGCGAGGCAGTGGCGCAGTAGGTAGTGCTGTCGCCTCACAGCAAGAAGGTCGCTGGTTCGAGCCTCGGCTGGGTCAGTAGGTGTTTCTGTGTGGATTTCCCCCATGTGCTCCGGTTTCCCCCACAGTCAAAAGACATGCGGTACAGGTGAATTGGGTAGGCTAAATTGGCTGTGTAGTGTATGAGTGTGTATGGATGTTTTCCAGAGATGGGTTGCAGATGGAAGGGCATGCGCTGCGTAAAACTTATGCTGGATAAGTTGGCGGTTCATTCCGCTGTGGCGACCCCTGATTAATAAAGGGACTAAGCTAAAAAGAAAATGAATGAATATATTGTTTATGGGGCGACACGGTGGCTCAGTGGTTTGCACTGTCATCTTCAGCAAGAAGGTCGCTGGTTCGAGCCTCGGCTGGCTCAGTTGGTGTTTCTCTGTAGAGTTTGCATGTTTTCTCTGTGTTCGCGTGGGTTTCCTCTGGGTGCTCCGGTTTCCCCCACAGTCCAAAGACATGCGGTACAGGTGAATTTGGTAGGCTAAATTGTCCGTTGTGTATGAGTGTGAATGAGAGTATATGGATGTTTTCCAGAGATGGGTTGCGGCTGGAAGGGCATCTGCTGCGTCAAAACGTGCTGGATAAGTTGGTGGGTCATTCCGCTGTGGCGACCCCAGATTAATAAAGGGACTAAGCCGAAAAGAATACGAATTAATAAATATATATATCACCCGGAGGAAACCTAAGCGAACACAGTGAGAACATGCAAACTCCACACAGAAACGCTGTAGGGATTTTTAACAGTTTGACCCAAAGAATGACCAGTCTGGTAGATGAAGAAGAGCCGGAGTCAGAGATTTAAATAAATAAATCAAGTTTAAAATATTTAATAAAAAATTATGAGAAACAAGATGATGGAGAAAAGAATAAACGTTGGTCCATGATGAGACGGATTGGAAAGCAGAAATCCGAATCCTTCAACGCCAACTGACCTAATATATAAATATCTATTTTAATATGTTAGTTTATTCATTTATTTAATAATTTTTTTTAAAAATACATGTATATTTCAATATGTATTTATTATGTAAAACCAGACTTTTATCTTTGGATAGCATTAATTAATGCTCACCACTGCTATTCATTTAAATCCTATATTAAACATGCACTATTTTTCTTTAAATAATCCTCACAGAACAGCATCAAATCAACAACCTATTGTTAATGCATAGCTTTGATCCTGCATTACAGATCTCGAGTTTATTAGTAAAGCCTAGACAGATATTTAAAACTCCATAAACGCATGAACAATATGAACATAATCTTCTTTCTTAATAAAGGCTAGGCAGATTATAAAATGCCATAAACACATGAACATAAACATGAAACCCTCTTGAGTCTAATGAAATCCCCACAGCGGCCGGAGGGGAAATTGGTTGGACTGGAGGCTGAATTTAAAGAGCAGCTTGTGTCCGTGTTGGAGATCTCAGGGGACGCTGGTTTTGCTGAGCCGTAATCCAGCACAAACACAGAAGCAGGAGTTATTGATTGTGCCGCTGCATCAGCAGAGGACGAGACTCACACCTGCAGCGTTTCAGAGATCTTCCAACACAGCGTTTACAGCCCTGACCCACTAATACTGGAGCTCACTCTCTCTCCCACACACACACACACACACACACACACACACACACACAGCGGTTTATATCTGCTCCGACTGCATGTCTGCACAGTTACTCATCATGTATTTTAGCATGATGTTATGAATACTCACAGAGTTAAAAGCAGAATGCATTGATTTTATTTACATGGCCCTGTTGCTATGTGGTTGCTAGGATGTTGATCACTATTCTAAATGTAACAATTACATCATTTAGCTACATTAATGGCTGCATGTGTAACAAGATATATTTAAAGGGGAGCTATTATGCCCTTTTTTATTAGAGGTAAAATAAGTCTGATGTTCCTAGACTGTGTGTAGGTGAAGTTTCAGCTCAAAATACCACACAGATAATGCTTTATACCTCTGTGAAACTGACCCTTTTAGACTTTGATCCTAATTGTGCCATGTTGGTGACTGTCACTTTAAATTCAAATAAGATTGTGCTCTTTTCAGAAAAGGGCGGAGCTACAAACACATGTGCCTCAGTGAGATCTTTCCTAGTGGGCGGGGCTTTCCACCTCTAATGACATGTACAAAGGGAGAATGTTGTGATTTACAGTGGTTTCGTTTCTGTCAGCTTTGTGTTTTTGACTGTTTGGCGCCATCTTGTGACCGAATAATGCGCTGGTTAGTGTATACTCCATCAGCTGTTTTTGTTCAGCTTTCATTTAATTCAAGTTTTAATAAATTATTACAGCTCAGAACAATGTTTTGTGTCAACTAGCTGTGTAATAAGCAGGATAGGGGGCAGCACGGTGGCGCAGGGGGTAGCGCTTTTGCCTCACAGCCAGAAGGTCACGGGTTTGAGCCTCGGCTGGGTCAGTTAGCATTTCTGTGTGGAGTTTGCATGTTCTCCCCGTATTCCCGTGGGCTTCCTTCGGGTGCTCTGGTTTCTCCCACAATGTGAAGTTTATTTATAAACAAATTTCGAGAGGATCACGTGCTTATGATTGTTCACAGCTGTTCCAACTTTAGCTAATTACTGAATATCCTATCAGACGATCCTTAACTCACTATAAATAACCAGACTTTTCTCATCTCAATATCTTCGTCTTGAAGAAACCCCCCCACCCAACCCTACTTTCCCTCCTTTCAAACGGCGTCACGGTGGCCAGCTATTAGCGCTGTTGCCTCACAGCAAGAATGCCCCTGGTTTAATTCCTTTCCAAACCAGACGGCATTTCTGTGCGGAGTTTGCTCGTTCTCCCCGTGGTCGCGTGGGTTTTCCCCGGGTCCTCTGGTTTCCTGCCACAGTTCAAAAACAAGCACTCTAAAGAATTAATCCACATACTTTAGCTAAACTCTGAGTACACCTTTCAGCATCCATATCTGACACTTAGCTACAACAAGCAAGAGGGGGAGTCATCGACATCTACCTGAGCTCAAACTTCCCTCTCGCCTTGCAACGGGAGGGAGCCCAGGGCTCGAGGATCTTATAAGCTCAGGGCTCTCTCCCGGGATAGCACGCCAAACTAGCTTTATTATCAATCATCAGCTAAATGTGAACTCTTGAAATGTGTGTGAATGAGACTGTATGGGTGTTTCCCAGTGATGGGTTGCGGCTGGAAGGGCATTCGCTGCTTAAAACATATGCTGGGTATGTTGGTGGTTCATTCCGCTGTGGCATCCCCAGATTAATAAAGGGACTGAGCCAAAAAGAAAAAAAAAAATGAAAGAATAAATAAGCAGGTTAAAGTACATCCAGGAGGTTGTTTTCACAGAATAGAGCCCTTCGCTCTTATTCAACTGTGCTCTGCTTTGCTTCAGGCTACTGATCAACCTATCAGGCTTTATTCTGTGATAACAACCTGCTGGATGTACTTTATTTCTAACTTACAGTAATAAATGGAGCCTCATAGTGTTATGAATAGGAATTCATTCATTTATTTTCCTTCGGCTTAGTCCCTTTATTCATTAGTGGTCACCACAGCGGAATGAACTGCCAACTTATCCAGCATATGTTTTATGCAGCTGATGCCCTTCTAGCTGCAACCCAGTACTGGGAAACACCCATACACTCTCTCATTCACACACACTCATATCTAGCTGCAACCCAGTACTGGGAAACACCCATACACTCTCATTCACACACACTCATACACTACGGCCAATTTTGTTTACCCAAATTTCCTTATAGCGCATATGTTTGGACTGTGGGGGAAACCGGAGCACCCGGAGGAAACACAAGCCAACCTGGGGAGAACATGCAAACTCCACACAGGAATGCCAACTGACCCAGCCGGGAATCAAACCAGCCACCTTCTTGCTGTGAGACGACAGTGCTAACCACTGAGCCACGGTGTCACCCTGAATAGGAATTAGTTAGTAAAAATATGATGACGTCTGCTCACTTGATGATCTGATAAGGTTTTAGGCTCATAAAGTGAGCACCACACATCATCGAAAGCCCAAATGTGATTAATATCGCAGTGTGAATGTCTAGACATGTGGTGCAGATGAGCAAACCTCCTGCAGCGACTGCACCATCACCTCCATCTGCTCTCTTCTGGACAGCTCCTCCTCCCATCTGAAACACACACACACACACACGTTTGGGTTACATATTTTATGTGGAAGTGAGCGCTTTTCTGCAATAGTTTTACGGCTTTCGATTCAATAGTCTAACGGGGGAAACTAATAGGAAATAGGAAATTACAAATAACACAAAATGGTCAAACTACTTGTTGCACAAACAATGATACATTTAAAAAAATCTAAATTAGCAGCATAACAAGCTTTTTTAACGCTTAAAAGTCAAAGGAAGAGAATGAGAACGGAAGTCTCGAGCCAATGTTTTATAACATTAACAAATAAGGTCAATAATTGAGGGATTTTTTGGTCCTCACAACATGATTAATACCAGAACCACACACACACACACACACACACACACACACACACACACACACACACACACACACACACACACACACACACACACACACACAAACACACAAAATGGTTTACATGTTTATGGGCACTCTCTATACACTGCAAAAATGCTTTTCTTACTTAGATATTTGTCTGGTTTCTAGTCCAAATATCTAAAAATTCCTAAATCAAGAAGCATTTTCTAGACAAGCAAAACATCTTGTCTTGTTTTGAGAAATAATATGCCAATATTAAGTGACTTTTTCCCTAAAACAAGCAAAATAATCTGCCAATGGGGTAAGCAAATTAATCTTACGTTTAAAAAAAAACAAGATTAATTTGCTTACCCCATTGGCAGATTATTTTGCTTGTTTTAAGGAAAAACTCACTTAATATTGGCATATTATTTCTCAAAACAAGACAATATGTTTTGCTTGTCTAGATAATGCTTCTTGATATAGAAAATTTTAGATATTTAGACTAGAAACAAGACAAAATATCTTAGCAAGAAAAGCATTTTTTGCAGTGTTTGTCCTGTACACTGTAAAAAAACAATATGACAAAAAATCATGATGACGAATGTTTTTAGGTTACTTTAACTCATTTAAATACATTAATCAGGCTTCAACTGCATTTTTGAAGTTATATACAAAGTTTAATCAGGCTGATTGGTGTAAGTTGAGATGACTAGAAAAGTCAAGTTGATTCAACTAAAACATAAAGGCTATATTCTACACCTCTACCCCTAAACATCCCTCACAGAAAACATTCTGCAGCTTT